ATGCTGGCCCAAAGTTGAAGTATAGCGGTATTTGATGTAACATTTCAAAAAAACTAAAAACTCATTAATATACTTTTTCCAAATGTGACAAAATATATTGTCACATTAATTCTTTCAAATACATTTAACCTCCTCTGCACATACACAAAATATAGAACATTATAAAAAAAAAAAAAAAAATCAAACAACAAAAAACTAAATTAAAGAAGAATAAACTTCATACTATTATACTATAATATTATATAAAAAGCCCCTAACCTTGGTTTCTTAAAGTTCTTGCATGTGGCATTTACATAATTTAAAAAATAAAAAAAAACCTACTCTACAATTATTTCTCACTCAACCAATTCTCCAAACAATACTCTACAATGACTTCTTCTCTTCTCCAATAACTTCCTTTAATCAAATTATTATATATTATTATTTATTATTATTTAGTTTTACTTTTACTTTCTTCCTCTAGTTGTACAATCTTTTTCTTTGTTAAAGAAAGTACAAATGTGTTTTATTCAATTATGGCAAAAGACGTGCAAACAAATAGAAGGCTATCTTTTTATTTCTCTTGACGGTAAGTGATTTAAAAGTTTTCGATTTTTATATTCTAAATGATTGAAATTTTTGTTTACTTGTTTTTGTTTTTTTTTTTTTGGTTATAAATATTTGTTATTTTTTTTCTTCTTCCCCTTTTACAATCATTCTATTACATGATTTTTTTTTATTTTTTACTTTTTAACTTTTTGATTTTTAGAATCAATTGAGTATTGAAGATGCCCAAATGGATCGAAGAAAAATGAGAAATTGAGGAAGAAAGAGATGTAAGAAGAAGAACAATTATTAGTTTTAGAGATTGAGAGAGAGTTCGTTTGGGGCCAAAATTTGGAGGTTTTGATTGGGTTTGCAGAGAGAATACAAAAGCAAAGTGCAGACTCATACAAGAGTTGGCTATTTGATGAGTGATTATGTAGAATTTACTTTTATAGAATTCGTAAGTCCTATTTATTTTTTTCTAGCTGTTTTACACAAATTTATACAATTTTTTTTTTTTTCAAAAGATTGTCTTATAACTTATATGCATTAACTTTTTTTTCCAATTATTTTAAAAAATTTGGGTTTGTTCAAAACAAATACTTGTTCAAGTATCAACATTTATCTTTTGTTTCTCTTTGACTGTAAGTTTTTTAAAAACTCATCAGTGTACTTTTGCAAATGTGACAACGTGGCCGGTATAATGTGATCCTCCAAAAAAATTAAAACTCTTAGGTGTACTTTTTTCAAATGTGACAATGTAGGGTACGATTGTGACACTAAAAAAAAACTAAAAATCGTTAGTATATTTTTCTAAATGTGACAACGTGGCGCAAATGTGAAATGTAGCGGGTATGATAGTAACACTTTAAAAAACTAAAAACTCATTAATGTACTTTTCCAAATGAAAAAAATATATTGTCACAGTAATTCTTTCAGCATACATTTTAACCTCCTCGCACAACACAAAATATAGAAAAGTATATAAGTAATATATAAATATATATATATAAATACAAACAACAAAAAAAAAACTAAATTAAAAGAAGAATAAAAATTCATACTATTATACATTATATTATATTAAATGAGCCCCTACCCTGGTATTCTTAATATTTTTGCCATGTGGCATTTACATAATTTAAAAAAAAAAAAATACCTACTCTACAATATTTCTCACTCAACCACATTCTCCAAACAATACTCTATAATGACTTCTTCTCTTCCCAATAACTTCCTTTAATCAAATTATGTTTTTATTATTATTATTATTATTATTATTTAGTTTTAGTTTACTTTATTCCTCTAGTTGTACAATCTTTCTTTGTTAAAGAAGTACAAATGTGTTTTATTCATTATGGCAAAAGACGTACAACCAATAGAAGCTATCTTTTATTTTCCCTTCGACGGTAAGATTACAAGTTTTTTATCTAAATGATTGGAAATTTTTGTTTACTTGTTTTTTTGTTTTGTTTGTGTTTGTTTTTTGTTTTTTTTTGTGTTTATAAAATTATTGTTTATTTTTTTCTTCTTCTTTCCCTTTTACAATCATTCTATTACATGATTTTTTTATTTGTTTTTTTTAACTTTTTGATTTTCAGAGAATGCAATTGAGTATTGAAGATGCCAAATGGATCGAAGAAAAATGAGAAATTGAGAAGAAAGAGATGTAAAGAAGAAGAACAATTATTATGTTTAGAGATTGAGAAGAGTTCTTTTGGGCCAAAATTTGGAAGTTTTGATTGGGTTTGCAGAGGAAGTACAAAAGCAAAGTGCAGACTCATACAAGAGTGGCTATTTGATGAGTGGTTATGTAGAATTTACTTTTATAGAATTCGTAGTCCTATTGATTTTTTTCCAGGTGTTGTTACCAAATTTATACAATTTTTTTTTTTTCAAAGATTGTCTTATAACTTATATACATAACTCTTTTCTTTAGATTATTTTTAAAACTTTGGTTGTTCAAAAGAAATAACTTTTCAAGTGTCAACATTTATCTTCTTTTGTTTCTCTTGACTGTAAGTGATTTAAAAAACTCTTCAGTGTTTTTTTCTAAATGTGACAACATGTGGGGTATGATGTGATACTCCAAAAAATTAAAAACTCCTTTGTACTTTTTTCAAATGTGATGATGTAACGCCCTCAAAAAAAGAGGATAATCCAAAGCAAGAGATTCGTGAATTAATAATAGAAATTGTTATACTTTCATTTCATCAGAGGTTTATATTACAAAAAATATTACATGTATTTATACTTTCATAAACATTCATTTTGAAGCGATGGCATGTAACACTAATTGATTACAACAAATAAATGCCCTATGGGCTTTACATCTTTCCAAGATATCACTTGGTTACAACAAAAGAAAGAGAGTCCTAGATCTATAAATATAAAACTCTCGGCTGAATAAACATTTAAGCATAAATATAACAAAAACGGAGCCTTCAGCCCCTTGGTACTCCCAAGCTATGTCTTTGGAGGTAACATATCACCTATACCTAAAAATGGTTTCCGCAAGTAGGGTGAGCCAAACCTAGCCGAGATAAAACTAACACTAAGTATGAGATTTAACTAAGATATAAAAGTCAAGTAGAAGTCCAATACTCAAGGCTAACTTAAATTCTTCCCATTTCCATTCATTATTGATATCCACATCTTAATCCATTTCATCATTCATTAATTCGGTTCATAAGTGTAGTTCCTTATCATCTAAACAATCCCAAATGAGACTACAACTCATTCATTCACAATTCAACAACATTCATTATTCAAACCACTTCAAACTTCATGCCATCTTACAGATTCTCGGAGGGAATTGCACCAAAATATACACATATAAGGTTTCGGGGATTTCACCTTGACACTTCGCCAATTATTTTAAAATGAGTCCATCCCCTATCTCTCTCCAAATAATGGAGTACATCCCCTATCTCTTCCAAACAAAGTACAATGTATTTAAAGACGTTGTCATATAAATGACTATTCAAATCACATATTCAATGATTAATCAAACTCATATTCAATGACATAATTCAAATGATTATTTTCAATTACCTAATCCTCATGCAGTTTCTACAACAATCATAGCTATCTCTACGATAGTCCAAAACAGATATTTCTAAACAGATATTACAATCTATCAAACAGATAATTTATCAAATTTTCATAGGTGAGTGATTTATCAAATCCAATTACACCATTCATTCATACACTCCCCCAATTCATATTTTCCATATTTAATTCTTATTATTATTACAAAATATTATTCAACACAAATTACCGACAATTTTCCCTTTTCCCAAATATTTAACCCCAAGGCCAAATTTACTCATTTTAAACACTAGAGAACTTCATACACAAGGTCCTATAGGCATTTTATAAACCAACATGGAAAACCCCTCTTTAACTTTTGATATTAAACCCTAACTTACCCAATCCTTCAAATTCCACCATTTATACAAAATACAAATATCTAGGTTAAAAACATAACAAGGTGTAGAATATCCTACCTCAAGTGTAGAAGCTCAAAGGAAGATGAAAGAAGAACCTCAAAGGTGTCCAACTCGATTTGTTCGTTCCCGGATCAAGAGGAAGAGCCCACAATATCTCTAATCTATCAAATGCAGATGGTAGAGACCCTTAGATCATGGAAATATTTATAGAGAGATAGAGGTGTTTTTAGAGAGAGAGAGTGTGTGCCAAATTAGGGTTTTTAGGAGAATGGAAATCAAAAAGTGATGTAAAATCACCCTGTTGCGAACAGATATACACGACCTTCGCTCGAGCGAAGGAGTTGTCACTCGAACAACCAGACACAACAAGTGACCTTGCTCGAGCGCAAGAAGCGTCGCTTCAGAAGTTTTACAAATGCACACGCTCGCTCGAGCACAAGAGGCCTCGCTCGAGCGAAGACCTTAGCCTTCTCAGAAATTCTGTGTTTGGGAAAGAAACCTAAGGACTCTCAATTTTCGCTCGAGCGTAAGAAACCTCGCTCGAACGAAGGAGCAATTTTCACAAGGCTCGCTCGAGCGCAAGAAAGCTTGCTCGAGCGAAGAAGCAAAAATCTAGGCAATAACAATTTAGACCGATTAACAACTAACCTGTTTCAAACACGTCCAACCTATTCCAAAACTCAAATTCAAAGAGTTAAAGGAGGAAAAAAAGACATGGATACAATATTAAACCACGAAACCAGAGTCAGGTAACAAAGGTCGGGTCAAAACCGGGATCGCTATAGACAAAGTGGCGGATATGATGTGACACTCCAAAAAAACTAAAAACTTGTTAATATACTTTTTCTAAATGTGACAATGTAGCGGGTATGATGTAACACTTCAAAAAAACTAAAAACTCATTAATGTACTTTTTCCAAATGTGACAAAATATATTGTTACATTAATTTTTTTAGCATACATTTTAACCTCCTCTACACATACACAAAATATAGAAACGTTATTACCAAAAAAAAAAAAAAACTAAATTAAAAGAAGAATAAAAATTTATACTATTATACTATTATATTATATTAAATGAACCCCTACCTTGGTTTCTTAAAGTTTTTGCCATGTGGCATTTACATAATTTAAAAAAAAAAACCTACTCTACAATTATTTCTCACTCAACCACTTTTTCCACATAAATACACTATAATGACTTCTTCTCTTCTCCAATAACTCCTTTAATCAAATTATTCTTATTCTTATTTTTTATTTTTACTTTTACTATCTTCCTCTAGTTGTACAATGTTTTTCTCTTTTAAAGAAAAATGTGTTTTATTCAATTATGGCAAAAGACGTACAAACCAATAGAAGGCTATCTTTTGTTTCTCTTCAACAGTAAGTGATTTAAAAGTTTTCAATTCTTATATTCTCAATGTTTGTAATTTTTGTTTATTTGTTTTGTTTTTTTTTTTTGGTTATAAATATTGGTTATTTTTTTCTTCTTCTTCCCCTTTTACAATCATTCTATTACATGATTTTTTTTTTTTTTAACTTTTTGATTTTTTAGAGAATGCAATTGAGTATTGAAGATGCCCAAATGGATTGAAGAAAAATGAGTGAAATTGAGGAAGAAAGATATGTAACAGAAGAAGAACAATTATTATGTTTAGAGATTGAGAGAGAGTTCATTTGGGACCAAAATTTGGAGGTTTTGATTGGGTTTGAAGAGGAAGTACAAAAGCAAAGTGCAGACACATACAAGAGTTGGCTATTTGATGAATAATTATGTAGAATTTACTTTTAAAGAATTCGTAGTCCTATTTATTTTTTTCTAGGTTGTTTTACACAAATTTACAAATTTTTTTTCAAAGATTGTCTTATAACTTATATACATAACTTTTTTTTCCCAAATTATTTGAAAACCTTTGTGTTTTTCAAAAGAAATAACTTTTCAAGCAATTGCTTATCAACATTTATCTTTTGTTTTTCTTTGACAGTAAGTGATTTAAAAACTCCTCAGTGTACTTTTCTCAAATGTGACAACGTGGTGGGTATGATGTGATACTCCAAAAAATTTAAAACTCCTTAGTGTACTTTTTTCAAATGTTACAACGTGGCAGATATGATGTGACACCCCAAAAAAACTAAAAACTCGTTAGTATACTTTTTCTAATTGTGACAACGTGGCCCAAATGTGACAATGTAGTGGGTATGATGTAACACTTTAAAAAAAAATTAAAAACTCATTAATGTACTTTTTCTAAATGTGACAAAATATATTGTCACATTAATTCTTTTAGCATACAGTTTAACGTCCTCTACACAAACACAAAATATAGAAATGTTATATATATATATATAATGAAAAAAAGAAGCAAACAACAAAAAAAACTAAATTAAAAGAAGAATAAAAATTTATACTGTTATACTATTATATTATATTAAATGAGCCCCTACCTTGGTTTCTTAAAGTTTTTGCCATGTGGCATTTACATAATTTAAAAAAAAAAAAAAACCTACTCTACAATTATTTCTCACTCAACCACATTCTCCAAATAAATACTCTATAATGACTTCTTCTCTGCTCCAATAACTTCCTTTAATCAAATTATTATTATTATTGTTACTTTTTTTTTTTTTTTACTTTTACTTTTATTTTCTTCCTCTAGTTGTACAATGTTTTTCTCTTTTAAAGAAAGTACAAAAGTGTTTTATTCAATTAGGGCAAAAGACGTACAAACCAATAGAAGGCTTTCTTTTATTTCTCTTCGACGGTAAGTGATTTAAAAGTTTTCGATTTTGATATTCTCAGTGATTGAAATTTTTGTTTATTTGTTTTTTTTTGGTTATAAATATTGGTTATTTTTTTCTTCTTCTTCCCCTTTTACAAGCATTCTATTACATGATTTTTTTTTTTAACTTTTTGATTTTTCAGAGAATGCAATTGAGTATTGAAGATGCCCAAATGGATTGAAGAAAAATGAGAAATTAAGGAAGAAAGAGATGTAACAGAAGAAGAACAATTATTATGTTTAGAGATTGAGAGAGAGTTCTTTTGGGGCCAAAATTTGGAGGTTTTGATTGGGTTTGAAGAGGAAGTACAAAAGCAAAGTGCAGACACATACAAGAGTTGGCTATTTGATGAATAATTATGTAGAATTTACTTTTAAAGAATTCGTAGTCCTATTTATTTTTTGCCAGGTTGTTTTACACAAATTTACAATTTTTTTTTTCAAAGATTGTCTTATAACTTATGTACATAACTTTTTTTTTTCCAAATTATTTGAAAACCTTTGTGTTTTTCAAAAGAAATAACTTTTCAAGTAATTACTTATCAACATTTATCTTTTGTTTTTCTTTGACTGTAAGTGATTTAAAAACTCCTTAGTGTACTTTTCTCAAACGTGACAACATGGTGGGTATGATGTGATATTCCAAAAAAATTAAAAACTCCTTAGTGTACTTTTTTCAAAGGTGACAACGTGGCAGATATGATGTGACACTCCAAAAAAGCTAAAAAGTCGTTAGTATACTTTTTCTAAATGTGACAGCGTGGCCCAAATGTGACAATGTAGTGGGTATGATGTAACCCTTCAAAAAAAATTAAAAACTCATTAATGTACCTTTTCCAAATGTGACAAAATATATTGTCACATTAATTCTTTTAGCATACATTTTAACCTCCTCTACACAAACACAAAATATAGAAATGTTATATATATATATATATATATAAAATGAAAAAAAGAATCAAACAACAAAAAAAACTAAATTAAAAGAAGAATAAAAATTTATACTATTATACTATTATATTATATTAAATGAGGCCCTACCTTGGTTTCTTAAAGTTTTTGCCATGTGGCATTTACATAATTTAAAAAAAAAAAACCTACTCTACAATTATTTCTCACTCAACCACATTCTCCAAATAAATACTCTATAATGACTTCTTCTCTTCTTGTTACGCCCTCAAAATAATACATAATCCCAACATTTAACAGTTCTATGTGTACATGATAGATAAATCACAATCCCCTACATACATCCGAGGTAATATTACAAAAGAGTATTTCATATAAGTTACAGATGTTTACAAAGATGATAGAATGCCCTGCGGGCTTACATCTTTCCAAGTTGTTACTTGGTTACACAAAAGAAGAGTTCTAACTCTTTTACAAGTAAAGCCCTCGGCTTGCATTTACATGTAATCAACAAAACAAATAACGAGGCAGAGTCTTCATCTCCTAAAGCCTCCCAGGAAAAGGTCTTGAATTTGGCATGTCTTCTGTACCTGAAAATGGTGTCCCAAGTAGGGTAAGCCAAAGCCTAATAGAGATATACTAAACCCAATATGAGAAATAACTAAAACATTATCATTCGACAAAAGACTAACACGTGTAGACCAACTCACAACCTTCTCATAGCCTAACAACAATTATAACCATGTTTCAATCCACTTCCCTTATTTATCCAATTCAATTACTAAGTATGATTCATTGTCTAACCAAACAATTTAAATGAGACTACAACTCGACTTATTAATACTTCCGTTATCCACAATTCAAAATGAGACTACAACTCATGTAATTAACACTTCAAATGTCAACTTCATTCATACACTTCAATTTATAAGGTTTCGGGACTTTCATCCCGGACACTCCAGCCAACTTAATTATCTATGGAGTCCATCCCCTATCTCCTCCCAAACAATGGAGTACATCCCTTATCTCCTCCCAAACAAAGATACATATACAATGTAACAAAGATGCATATACAATGTAACAAAGCATATAATCACACGTATGGAGTACATCCCCTATCTCCTCCCAAACAAAGGCACATATGCACCGTATTAAAGCAAGTAAGCACATATGGAGTACATCCCCTATCTCCTCCCAAACAAGATACATATACAATGTATTAAAGCACATAATCATATATGCAGTACATCCCCTATCTCCTCCCAAACAGTGGAGTACATCCTCTATCTCATCCCAAACAATAATACATATACAATGTATTAAACTCTTTATCTTATACCATGATCAATTAAGGCACATATTCGATGTGTTCTTCCCACTATCATATTCAATGACACATTTCGAATGATTAGTTTCAATTTACCTAATCATCATGCAGTTCTACAACAATCAAAACTATCCTCCACCGATAGCCCAAAACAGTTATTTCTAAACAGATAAATGAATTTACCAAATAGATAATTTATCACAATTTCCATAGGTGAGTGATTTACCAAACCGACCACACCAACTAGTCCCAATTCCGCCCAATTTCATAATGTTCAAATCAATTTCACATTCCTCACAATTACCAAATTAATTATACAAGTTAATTATTTAGATTCAATTAGGGTATTTTCCCCATTTTCTCAAACATTGATCCTAAGACCGAATCTCACCTATCAAACCCACAAAACCTCATTTTCACAACCTCATATGCATATGGAGCTTAAAAAAAACAAAACCCCTCTCTTATATACCACAAACCTCAAACCCTAATTTACCAAATCACCAAATCTCAACATTTATACTAAGTGACTAATATTTATGTTAAAACTCATAAGAATGAGTAGATCATTCCTACCTCGAAGTTAGGAGTTCAAAGGAGAAGAAGGATGAAACTCAAGATGCTCCAAATCAAAACTTTTTCGGATCAAAGTGCAGCCCACACTAGGCTCCACCTTTCTTACAAAAGAGATTAGGGTAGACACACCCAAGAACCAAGGGTATTTGTAGAGAGAAGGTGTATGTAGAGAGAGAGAGTCGGATCTAGGGTTTGGAAGTGAAAAGAGATGAAAAAGTGAAGAAGAAACACGCTGCTGCAATTGATATACTCGAGGCTCTCTCGAGCAAATGAGTGGTCGCTCGAGCGACCAGACACAGACAAACCTCGCTCGAGTGCACAAAGCCTTGCTCGAGCGAACAACACGAAGCTTCAGGTCTGCAACCCAGAAGCACGCTCGAGCGAAGGAAATCTCGCTCGAGCAAAGAAACACATCCTTCAGGTCCAAACTAGATGCAAACGCACGCTCGAGCGCAAGAATGCTTGCTCGAGCCAATAGACACACCACTCAAAGCTCGCTCGAGCGAAGGAACCCTGGCTCGAGCGAAGGAACTAAAACACAGAGCTCACTCGAGCGACAAAAGCTTTGCTCGAGCGAAGACACCAAAAGAACTGGGCAGCAACCACATGCTCCAACACTCAACCAACCTGTTCCAATCTTAACCAAAACATCCCAAAACTCAAATACAAAGAATAAAAGGATGGAAACAAGAATAAGACAACAACAACAACCACTAGACTCGAGTTCGAAATACAATACATAACGGGAAAAACCAGGATCGCTATACTTCTCCAATAACTTCCTTTAATCAACAATTGTTATTGTTATTTTTTTTTTACTTTTAGTTTTATTTTCTTCCCCTAGTTGTACAATGTTTTTATCTTTTAAAGAAAGTACAAAAGTGTTTTATTCAATCATGGCAAAAGACGTACAAACTGATAGAAGGCTTTCTTTTATTTCTCTTCGACAGTAAGTGATTTAAAAGTTTTCGATTTTGATATTCTCAGTGATTGAAATTTTTGTTTATTTGTTTATTTGTTTTTTTTTATTATAAATATTGGTTATTTTTTTTCTTCTTCTTCCCCTTTTACAATTATTCTATTACATGATTTTTTTTTAAATTTTTTTTTGACTTTTTGATTTTTCAGAGAATGCAATTGAGTATTGAGGATGCCCAAGTGGATCGAAGAAAAATGAGAAATTGAGGAAGAAAGAGATGTAATAGAAGAAGAACAATTATTATGTTTAGAGATGGAGAGAGAGTTCTTTTGGAGCCAAAATTTGGAGGTTTTTATTGGGTTTGCCGAGGAAGTACAAAACCAAAGTGCAGACTCATACAAGAGTTGGCTATTTGATGAGTGATTATGTAGAATTTACTTTAATAGAATTCGTATTCCTATTTATTTTTTTCCATGTTGTTTTACAGAAATTTATACAATATTTTTTTTCCCCAAAGATTGTCTTATAACTTATATACATAACTTTTTTTTCCAGATTATTTTAAAACTTTGTGTTGTTCAAAAGAAATAACTTTTCAAGTAATTACTAATCAACATTTATCTTTTGTTTATCTTCGACTGTAAGTGATTTAAAAACTCTTCAGTGTACTTTTCCCAAATGTGACAACGTGGTGGATATGATATGATACTCCAAAAAAATTAAAAACTTCTTAGTGTACTTTTTGAAATGTGACAACGTGGCGGTATGATGTGACACTCAAAAAAAAACTAAAAACTCGTTAGTATACTTTTTCTATATGTGACAACGTGGCCCAAATGTGACAATGTAGCGGGTATGATGTAACACTTCAAAAATACTAAAAATTCATTCACGTACTTTTTCCAAATGTGACAAAATATATTGTCACATTAATTCTTTCAGCATACATTTTAACCTCCTCTGCATATACACAAAATATAGAAACGTTATTAAAAAAAAAAAATCAAACAACAAAATAACTAAATTGAAAGAAGAAAAAAAAATTATACTATTATACTATTATATTATATTAAATGTGCCCCAACCTAGGTTTCTTGATGTTTTTGCCATGTGGCATTTACATAATTTAAAAAAAAGAAAAAGAAAACCTATGTAACGCCCCAAAAATATATACAGTTGATAAACCCAATAATTCTCAATTATTCCATGATTGCAATGAGAGAGAGAATAATAAATACTACATTCATTAATGTATGGACCGAAAAGCTCATTCTTTTCTATTCATGACTTTCTAGTAGGAATCATAAAAGAAATCACATGCTTTCATACATTCATCATCCTTAAGATTTGAGTTTATAGCATGTGATAATAACAAATTAAAGTAACAAAATACAATTTGTGCCTTAACGGCTACAAGTTCCAAGGCTTTGCCCGGTTACAACAAAATGGTTTTCAAACCCATACATAGATAGCCCTTGGCTTGCAAAGAAAAGAAAACAAATAAATAATTGAGCCTTATGCTCCAAAAGGTCCTCCATGCCTTCAATTTAGCAGAGACACAACACTATCACTTGAAAAATGGTTTCCACTAAGGGATGAGCTTTATAAAGCCCAGTAGAGATAATCTAAATAAAGTACACGTAGTTTAACAATATCATGAGGTGCAATGCATATGATATGCCAATGCCAAAAATCATAAGTTTTCTCATTTCGAAATCTCATGCCATGCACTTGTTCGAAAGCATAACCAATTCAATTATCCATTTCATAGAACAAGGGACGGTAAATACGACATTGATAATCCTTCGGTTGGTGTCTGCAAGTAGGCATAACTAGCACTACCAAAACCCCACTTTACCAGTGACTAACTGGAAGGGACATGGTACCTCCTCCGCGCGTGTTTTCGGTCTTTCACCCCGAACACTCAGGCCAACTTAATCAATTCCAATCTACATCCCCTATCCGGACTTACCAAACGTATTTACCCCATAACTCAACACATTTCAAATATTCCCAATGAATCAATTTGAAACAAAACCAATTTCTCAAATCCAATGCGAAAATTTAATCATCAGATTATGCAATGTTCAATGCCATGCATGAATTTGAAAATATTTCAATTTACTTATTTCACATGCAACTTCTATAATAGTCAATACCACCTTCCACGGTTGCCTAAACAATTATCTCTATACAAAATAAATTTCAAGAGATAAATATAACTCATAATCTCATATTTTCAATCATTTCAACATAGGAGTAACAATCACATGTTCAATCTCATCTTTCCCAACTTAGTCAAGAATCATAATATTCTTAAAAAAATTCATCAATCTTCCCTTTTTATTCAAACTCAA